TTCCTCTAAACCCCTCTAACATGTAAATTGTGTATTCAGTGAAAGGTTGATTTAAGACTCAAAAGAATGCAAATGCAACCATCAAAAGAATGCAAATGAAACCATTTGTCTTTTATCTACCTATGACCTGGGAGCCCAAATCCCAGCCCCATGCCCACCCCCACCCCACTTTGAGTTGTCCTGTCTTTTCAGACTGAAACAATGTACACCTTACATTGTCAGTATTGACTGACATTTGATGTCCCCCTAAAATGTATAAAATCAAGCTATACCTTGACCACCTTGGCACATGTCATTAGAACCTCCTAAACCTGTATCACAGGTGCATCCTAAACCTTGGCAAAATAAACTTTCTAAATTAATTGAGACCTGTCTCAGACACTTTGGGTTCACAAGAGATAGAAACAGGACTATTGGAGCAAGGTACCTTGTCAAGGGATGGACAGAAAATGAAAGCTAGAGCAGTCAGAATTCCATCTTCCAGAACTTTAACTCTTGGACTTTGTATTAATACTGTAGGTTAATTCTAACAGCATCAGATGACACTATACAATGGTTCTCAGAAACTCTAAAGTTGCACAGTTTCTGTCCTTTCAGGCTCTTTCTCATTCTCCTCTTCTGCTGGTTATTCTTTTTTTTTTTTAGACAGAGTCTTGCTCTGGTTGCCCAGGCTGTAGTGCAATGGCATGATTTTGACTCATTGCAACCTCTGCCTCCTGAGTTCCAGCGATTCTCCTGCTTCAGCCACTCAAGTAGCTGGGATTACAGGTACCTGCCACCAGCTAATTTTTGTATTTTTAGTAGAGACAGGGTTTCACCATCTTGGCCAGCTTGGTCTCAAACTCCTGACCTCAGGTGATCCAGCCAGCTCGGTCTCGAACTCCTGACCTCAGGTGATCCACCCACCTTGGCCTCCCAAAGCGCTGGGATTACAGTAAGCCACCACACTTGGTCCTGCTGGTTATTCTTTAAATAGAACAGGGCTCTATTTTTTGCTCTTTTCTTCACTGTGCATTCTTCCTCTAAATATTCCACTTTCATGCCTTTAATTATCATCTATATACTGATTCAGAAACATGTATCTCTATTTCAGATAGTTCCCTTTCCCATGGGAACCTTAAACTCCATCTGCCCAAAAGTGAACTTGACTTTCTTCACAAACTGCTTCTCCTATATTTTCTAACTCAATGAAAATTCATCACCATTCACCCAGATTTTTACTCCATAAGCTGGTGAGTCTTAATTTCACTCTTCCCTCTCCTTTGTACTCTGTGTCTCCCTATTTTGACCCTCAGCATTCAATTAATTATGACATTCTTTCCATTTTCCCTTATAACTCTGTAATCTTCTCATTCATCATGCTTGTTCAACATAATTATGTCTTTCTAATTGATTTCCTACTTCCAATATTGTCTCCTCCTAAAAAATACTCCATATGACAACCAGAATGGTTTAAATTTATTTTAAAAATTATTTATCATTTTCTTGTATGTACTGTTTCAATGCTTTTCTACTGCCCTTGGGAGAAACTCCAAATTCATCCATCTTTACAGTATACACTATCATACAAAGCCATTTACAGTACAAATGATGCCATGATTCTGTCACAATACACCTTTGTAACCCCATTTTCTTTGCCTAAAATGTCTTTTCTAAACTCCTCTCCATTCCTAACTTCTTCTTGTCTTTCAAATCTCAAATTAGATATCCTCCCAGAGAAGCAGTCCCTGAACCTTCTAGACCTATGACACCCAATATGATAGCCACCAATCATGCCTAGTTATTGAGCACTTGAATGATAGCTATTTTGAATTAAACGAAAGTGTAAAATACACCAGAATTTGAAGACTTGGTATGGGAAAAAAGTAAAGTATCTTAGTAATGATTTTTATATTGATTATATGTAAAATAATATTTTGGACGTTTTCAGTTAAATAGAATATACTATTGAAATTAGTTTCATTTTTGTAACTTTACGTGGCTAAAAGAAAACTCAAAATTACATGTAGCTTATATCATATTTTAATTGGACGCTGTCTAGCCTAGATAAGCCCTTTTTTTTCAGTGCCTTTTACTTATTTCTTTAGTAGCATTTGTTTTATGTTTTAAAATTACTAGACTGTCTTCTGCACTAGACTGTAAGCACCTTAGGAACAAGAGGCTGTCTTGGTCAACATAGTAATACCAGAGGTAAGGCCACTAAAGTACACAGAGTCAATCCTCATTATTTTTGGATTTAGTATTTGTGAATTTGCATAATTGACATAATTTACTTAGAACATTATTTTTTTCCTTGAGACAGAATATTGCTCTATTCCCCAGGCTGGTGTGCAGTGGCACGATCTCGGCTCACTGCAACCTCTACCTCCCAGGTTCAAGCAATTCTCCTGCCTCAGCCTTCCGAGCAGCTGGGACTACAGGTGCGTGCTACCACACCCAACTAAGTTTTGTATTTTTAGTAGATACAAGGTTTCACCATATTGGCCAGGCTGCTCTCAAACTCCTGACCTCATGATCCACCTGCCTTGGTCTCCTAAAGTCCTGGGATTACAGGCATGAGCCACTATGCCCAGCCTACTTAATTTGAAAATCAATACTTGCAGTGCTTTTGAAGTCATTTGTGAACATGCACAGGGATCTGAGCCATTTAATGCACATTTAGCTGAGGTCAAACACAGCCATGCTCTGCCTTGTTTCAGTTGTCAAACTGTGAACAAGTATTCTTTTCAGTCTATTTAGTGCTATAGTTTTTGCATTGTTGTGATTTTTATGGTGGTTTCACTGTTCAAAATGGCCCCCAAGCACTGTGCTGAAGAATTGTCTAATGTTGAGAAACACAAGAAAGCTACACTATGCCTTACAGAGAGCATATGTTAGATAAGCTACCTTCAGGCATGAATTACATTGCTGTTGTCTATCAGTTTAATGTTAATGAATCAACAATACATAGCAAATCAGGTGTCTTTAAACAGACATACACTAAAAATCACATATTAACCAATGTTTTGGGCCAGAGGCTCAGAGGAACCTAACCCTGTATTTCTCCTAGGAGCAATGATTGAGTATTTACCAGTCCAGTGTTCTTAGTGACTTCAGGAGAACTGACTGTATTTATTGAATAAGTGATGCCCAGTCACTTCATTCCAAACCCAAATCTTATGTGAATGTAGTATATGGTGGTAGGTAGAGCAGTGACTCTGGAACCAAACTGCCTAGATTTCAATCTTGGTTCTCCAACTTGCTAGCTTTACAATCTAGGGCAAATTGCTTAACTTTTCTCGCCGTTTTCCATAACTAAAAATGCAGGTTAAAACAGTACGGTTAATATTTCCCAGGGGCTGGGTGTAGAGAGAGGAAACTGACCACAAATGGCCACTAGGAAGATTTTGGAATGAGAGAAATATTCCATATCTTGATGATAATAGATGAGCCACCACGCCCAGTCTACTTAAAATAGATTTTAAAATTTGTCCCTTTTAGTATATAAAGTCCCATATAAAGTAAAATTTGTCCCTTTTAGTTTTATGAGTTTTGAAAAACATATCTTGATCATCATAAAACTCATCATAAAACTAAAAGGGAAATTTTACTTTATATGAATAACTTAAAAAGGTTAAAAATAGAGAGCAGCAGTCAAGATCAAAGGAACAATGCATGTGAAAAATTTAGTACCCTACTTCCCTATATAAATACTAAATACTATTAGTGCTCATTCTAAAAACAATAGGGAAAAGTTAGAAGGTATAAGGAAAAGCAGAAAGACCTCATGAACCAAAACTCCAATCTGGCTTTTTCTTTCTGGGTGATTGGGCGTGGGGGGGCGGGATGGTCTCACTCTGTCACCCAGTTTGGAGTGCAATGTCCAGATCTCGGCTCACTGCAGTCTCCACCTCCCAGGCTCAAGTGATAGATCATTTCACCTCAGCCTCCCAAGTAGCTGGGACCACAGGCGCAGGCCATCACTAATGTTTTGTATTTTTGGTGGAGACAAGGTTTCGCCATGTTAGCCAGGCTGATCTCCTACTCCTGAGCTCAAGCAACTCACCTGCGGAGGCCTCTCAAACTGCTAGGATCGCAGGCATGAGCCACTGCTGTAATGGCTGTTTCATATATTAGCTAGAGGCTGAGTTCAGTATATGAGAGGGCAGTAACTTACTGTAAAAGTTAAACTGTACATGTTTGAAAGATATGTGTAAACTGTAGTCATATATGAATGTGAGATATGAGATTATTCATAAGACAGTAACAGGAAATCAAAGTACCACATAAATGCGGGTGTGGAATGAGAAGTAATTTCCTAGGTCACCTCCCCAAGAAAGGACACAGTGGGTTGTGAAATAAAAATGTGAAGGGGGAGCACATCTCTTTTAAGAACCTTTCTATTGCAGTCTACAAGCTCTAGGTCAGTTGTGAAGACCATCCAAGCGTTCTAATACGGCAGAGTTAAAACCCAAACTCTAAGGAATGCCAATACCAGGAGGAAAGAAGGGATGAGTTGGCAGGACACCTGTCTGGACCAACAATGTGATACGGGTCAGACAAGCTCCGCCTCCACAACTTCACAACAGCTTTTGGTGTGAGAAGTGGATTAAGTCATTTCACTGCTGCTTGTAAGCTGGCGGATGCTTCAGGAGTGTCCACCCCAGGGAGCAGTGCTGACTCTACAGGGGCACCCTGCGGCAGTCAATGCCAAAATCTCACCAAGGGGTGAGTGAGGTTCTCAGAACCCATGGTGCCGAGCCGGGTAATAAAATACTGCACGTGAGTTCTTCTGCGAAGACCAGGAGGGGGCTTCGAACCCCAAGAAAGGCTGCAAGCTGAACCAGAAGCTCTAACCCAAAGTTCCCTTCACAGCCAGCCACATTGGCACTCACTGAATCTGCGCACCTCACGAGTGCCGACGATCGTCCCGTGATAACTGCCATGTACCTGACGGCACGGGCCACCGGGTGCCTCACTTGGTTCCCATTAAAGTAGACTGCGACCCAAACGCAACAAACCTAAGAGTTGGAAGGCGCAAGTTCCTCTGCCAGCGAGCTCACTCAAGCAACCAGAATGCTGAAAGTGCTCTCCACGCCGGAAGTGCACTAATCCGCAGCACGTGGGGTTGCCAGGGCGCGCTTCACGTGACTGGGCGGGGCCTCGGGAACCTGGTAGCCAATGGTAGCCCGAGGGGGCGGTGCCTGTGACGCTCCAGGGCCTATCCCGGAAGTAAGGCTGGGGTGGGGGCGGGTAAGGGCGGGGAGGCTGGGGTGTGGAAAGTGTGGCGGCCCCGCCCCGGCTCTTGGAACTGCCGCGGCCGCCAGCGCCGCCGCCGCCGGCGCCGCAGCTGTGGGGGACCTGCGCGGGTGCGCAGGCGAAAGGCGCTCGTAGCCAGCTGAAAGGTGAGGATCTGGGGAAAAGCTGATGGGGATGGGGCCAGAGCGAGGCAGGGCCGGGGAAGGCGCCCAGAGCCGAGCGCTGACCGAGGGAAGGAAGAAGAATGGATAGGGGAACGGAGGCAAGCGCGGGACCCGCCGGGGCTCAGGCCCTGGTGGGGCCGAGCCGGGCCGGGCCGGGCCGAGCCGAGCAGAGCCGGGGATGCCGGCAGAACAGGAGGCGCTTGTGCGGCCGCAGCGGCGGCGCTGAAGGGTGGAGGGCGCGGTGCGCGCCCGTTAGCAGAGGGCCGGGTGCTGCCGGCCAGGTCCTGTTACTCCGCATCCTTCGCGGGGACGTGCGGCCTGGGCTGGGTCCCCCGCAGTAGGGTTCGGGGCGGCGGCGGAGAGCTGGGTGGCGCGGGAAGGTCGCCGGCTTCTGCGTTGGGGCGATGGGCGCCAGAACCTGCTGTTTCCAGCGTGGAGGAGCGCCCAGGGCGGATGTCCCCACCCTCTGCGGGCTCCTCTGCGACTTCTCATCCCACCTCCCCAAACAATAGCTGGAAAAGTTTCTAGAGGCCAGAGTTAGAGAGTGCCCGCTAGTCTAGGGTGGGTGTTCTATACATGCAGAAATAACAGGCCCATGATGCTTGGCACATAACTTGTCCGAAATGAGACGTTTCCCTGCCTACACACCCATTGTTAAAAAGCAACCACAAACTTTTTGTGTAGTTCACACAGAAAAACTACCACCTCCCCAACCCACCATGGCGGACGAAATTGATTTCACTACTGGAGATGCTGGGGCTTCCAGCACTTACCCTATGCAGTGCTCGGCCTTGCGCAAAAACGGCTTTGTGGTGCTCAAAGGACGACCATGCAAAATAGTGGAGATGTCAACTTCCAAAACTGGAAAGCATGGTCATGCCAAGGTAAGTGCCCTTGCTGTTCAGGCTTTGGCTTCGGCCTTGGGATTTTGCTCATTTGTATTCTGTTGCAGATCATGAGATTACTATACTTAAAATTTTGTAATAAGCACTATTTTTTTCTGTCCCACAATTGCTGAGTGATCAGTTATTACTTTGAAAACTTAAAGGTAGCATTCCTTTCTTGGACCCTTACAATGTTTCATTAACGGGGAACTGAAACTTTCTTGAATGGTAGTGACCTAGGTCTATTCAGTTTACAGATGAGAAAACCTGTTCTACTAATTCTAAGAAACCTACACTTTATTTTTCTTGTCTACTCATAATTGAATCACTGGACTATATTGGGTCTTGGCAGGTCATGATACTCTTTAGTTGTTACTGCATCTTAATTGTATGACCATTACTTTTTTTTTTTAAGAAAGTAAAATTAGATGACCTTGGAAGGAGGAGAAAAAGAACTTGTCGTAATCAGCGTTGGTATTGTACTCTTGTGTGTGTAATGAGTGATATACTTGGCAGAGATTAAACAGGTTTCCTGTTCCCCTCTGTTAGGTTCACCTTGTTGGAATTGATATTTTCACGGGCAAAAAATATGAAGATATTTGTCCTTCTACTCACAACATGGATGTTCCAAATATTAAGAGAAATGATTACCAAGTAAGCACTGATTTTTCTTTAGAATGTTGCTTGTTTCTTCAAGGTACAAATACTTCATACTATCAACAGCAATTTGACAAAACCCAAGAGTGGTTTTGTAGGTTTTTCTAACCAAGTATTAGGCACCACCTATCTTAGAAATTGGAGAAATTATGATGTTTAACATGTGTTCCTTTTATAGGATTATTGCCAGCTTGCTATTTTTTCATATTCTTGCATTTTTTAAAAAGTCAAATACTTATTGTGTTCCTCAGGCCAAGTGACTGCATATTCCAGCTAAGTCCTATGCTTTGTAAAAGTACCATCCTCTCTGTTGTAAAATATTTCTAATTTAGATAGCTCCCTCCTGGATGTTTTGTTTCTTTTCACTGATCAGACTTAAGACATTCAAGAAACTACTGAAATTCATGTTCCTACCAAGTTTTTCATGTTAATGAACATGAGTCAGAACTTGACATTCTTAAGTAGGGAAATAAGCTGAAACCCATAAATATAAAGGATAAAATACACGGTCACCGAGTATGATAAAGAAAACACAAAAACTATATAAATGGTTTAATTATATTTAGTGACCATGCTGTGACCTTTTGCTAACTTATATATGTAAACCTCAAGTTTCAGTTATACATTGGGGAGGTCATATTTAATGATAGCATCTTAGTGTTTGGAATATCGATGGTAACCAAATAATTGACCTCATAGGATATGGAAGCTCAGATTACTCAAAGCTAAAGCTTTTCTTGAAAGTCTTCACTTTTTGTATCAAGCATACCATATATCAAACTCATTTTTGCTCATCTTACATAGTAAAAAATGCAGAGTTGACACTGAGATTTGTTTTATCCAAATTAAACTGACTTTTTTCTGTACCTTTTATTGTATTATATAGATTTTTTTAATGTTGCTATCAGCTGCACCCAATGATTTTCTTTTGCTGTTTGTCCACCTGCAAACATAATTTTTGGAGTTTCAATCTAGTAACACTTATATTTTCACTTTCCTACCTGTCCTAAATGTTTTCTAGATTGCTTTGAAGTCTTTGTAGAAATTTGAATTGTCTTCATATAACAGCAAGTGTTTTTTTTGTTTTTTTGTTTGTTTTTTAATGAGGTAGATCTGGGTTTGGATCTAGTTCTGCCACTTTCTAGTTGGATGATTTTGGACAAGTTATACAACCTGTCTTAGCCTGTTTTCTCATCACAAAATCAGGATAATATGAGGATAAATGAGAAAATATACCCCTTTTGTGGATATGTATCAACAAGTATTCTTCTGTTTCCCCCTTTTCCTATGTATAAATTCTACTTTATCATTTCTTTATTGTTAGAGCACCAAATTTGATGTGGTGTGTAGTAGATGCTCAAAATGCATTTGTTAAATGTATATGTGATTATTGAATGTGGTAAGGATAATACAGTAGGCCAAAGCTGAGCATAGAATTTTCTTTTGTCAAAATTGGGTTTCTCTTTTCATCTTAAAATATGAATGTGTTGAATATTCAATATTCATTATATTCAGTAATATTCAATATAGAATGCTTTTGCCTATTGCATATTTCAGAAAGATGGTGTCAGCATTTCAGTAATTACTGTTATACTGAGATAAAGTTAGACATTGATTGAAGCTCAAGACTTAAAGGAATATTTATGTTTGGGTCCTAGACTAGCGTGAAGTGAATGAAGTGAGGGAGTTCTTGCCTCGGGCTCAAAAATTTAAATAAAGACAGGACTAGTAACAATGACAAGCCATATAGGAGCCCAAGGCACAAAGAAAATAATTAATTCTGTTCCCATCTTTATTTAAAATTTTGGTATTTTATCATAGGATTTTTGCATTTATTCTAATTTTTTAAAATACTGCATTAAAGTGTTTATCTGATCACTGTGGAGTTTTTTGATGCCTTTTTAATTTTGCACCCAAGACAAATGTCTTACTTCACCTTTGTCCCAGCCCTTGGTGTGTACTCCACACTGCAAAGTGGATAAGAGGATGATTCAGGCCAGGCAGGCCTGGTCCTAGTCTCTACTTTGGCACTTAACAGCTGTGTGACCTTGGTTGACAAGTTACTTAACCTGTTTTGCTTCCATTTCTTTCTTTATAAAGCAAAGATGTAAATAATAAAGCCTCATGGGATCATTTTGAGGTTTCATTGGTTAATCCAACAATGCCCAACATAGAAAGTACTCATTATTTCTATGCTCTTTATTTTCATGTCAGCATACAAAACTTAGTTCCGTTAATTTTTTTAAAAGCTAGTTCTCAGCCGAGTGCAGTGGCTCATGCCTATAATCCCAGCACTTTGGAAGGCCGAGGCTGGCAGATCACCTAAAAATACAATATTAACTGGGTGTGGTGGTGCATGCCTGTAATCCCAGCTACTCAGGAGGCTGAGGCAGGAGAATCAGTTGAACCCAGGAGGCAGAGGTTGTGGTGAGCTGAGATCATGCCATTATACTCCAGCCTGGGCAACAAGAACGAAACTCTGTCTCAAAAAAAAAAAAAGAAAAAGCTAGTTCTTCAGTCTGGGCAACAAACCCCATCTTTATAAAGTACAGAAAAAAAAAAAAAATAGCCAGGCAAGGTTGCGTAACACAGCTAGTATCAGCAGCCCAGGAGGCTGAGGTGGAAGGATCACTTGAGCCTGGGGAGGTCAAGGCTGCAGTGAGCCATTATCATGCCACTTCACTCTAGCCTGGGTGACAGAGTGGGACCCTGTCTCAAAAAAAAAATTTCTCTGAGCCTTTCTTTATATTGTGCTGTGGTGGTCTTCACTCACCTATCCAACTGCCTTGATTACATTCCTGCTTATTATTTGGCTGTGTGTAATCCTTTATATTCGCTGAATTCAGTATTTTGAGTGCCAGTTGGGCAGTTGGCTAAAGAGAAATATGTATTCTGTTCATTAGAATAATTAAAAAGTAAACAGAAAAGAAAACGTATTAAGAGTTATAGTTTTAATTTTATGTGTTTTAAAGTAAGTTCAGAATGAAAGAAAAATTGTCTCCTGACTTCTCTTTCAAGATTAGCTTGGATTAGAATTGCTCATTTACATTTCTTCTCCCAAAAATAGTTATAGATGTCTGGGGCTCAGTGATGGTGTAAATTATAAATACATCCAGATGCATCTTTGGGAATCCCCAAATTCATATAGAAATGCTTATTCAGGCTTTAGTATTCTCTAGAATCATATTTCTTTCTTTTTTTTTTTTTTTTTTTTAAGACAGGGTTTCACCATGTTGGTCAGGCTGGTCTTGAACTCCCAACCTCAGGTGATCCGCCCGCCTTGGTCTCCAAAGTGCTTAGAGTACAGGCATGAGCCACCACACTTGGCCTTAGAAATAACTTTCTTATTTCTTTAGAAAGTTCTGTGTTAATATGCACCCCACCACAAGTAAGTAGATGCTGTTTCTGCATTTACTAAAGTTTTATCTGTCATTCGAAGACCACTCTCCAGAAAGAAAACTAATTACTACAGACACAGAAAGTGCATATTGTGGGCCTTTGGATTATTAGTGAATTGCCCAAACTGTGACTATTAAATCCTAGCATATTCTTCAAATAAGTAGTAGATTCTTTGGATGTTGATGTGTTAATTTAATTTTAAGGTTGTTAATTCCTTGAACCTAAAGTCTTTTTATAATTTTTACCTGTTTCGTGGAATCCTTGTGTTCTCAGATGGGAGCAGTCTTTCCCTAGAAATAGAAAGCCTCTAAACCAGTAGGGCCCAATATTGGAAGGACTAAAAGCAAATATTTGTTACAGGATCATTAAGGGTTATCGTGATAAGAGCCACTAACTTTAGTTCCTAGACCTGTGTATTCTATCTAGGGAAAAATAGCACCATATTTTGAAATATATTGTAACCTGCGAAAAACAACACTCCAGGCCAACAAAGTACTGGGCCGCAAGTGCCATATATGAGTCTTCACAAGGCCGGTCCACAGATGGAAGCGGTTTTGGAATAAGGCAGATGAACCAGTGAGTTATCTGGGTGTTTCATTGCCTCATTATTTTGCCTGTAAAATTACTTTTCTAGTCAGAAGTGATGCAGTATGAGATACTATAACAGGAATGAGGCATTCTGTAAACTTACATGAGATTTTTGCAGAAGCACTGCAGGCAAGAAAGGCAAATCCATATGTAGAGTAAAACTATTGCAATAAGAAAAAATTGCTGCCTGTTCCATGATAGAAAGGGTACAGTGTATTCAATCAAGTGACCAGGTGTTCTTCTGGGAAACATATCAAGACTTGTTCTTCTGTTCTTTTTCTTCTTCTGCCATATCAAGACTCTCCTGCTCTGTGAGGTGTTCAGTAGTGGCGGTAGGCAGATCAGTCTTGGTGAGAGAAAGCCTGTGTCATTTCTGAGCAGGGACTGAGGAAGTACAAAAAGAAGCTGAGGCCGGGCACGGTGGCTCATGCCTGTAATCTGAGCACTTTGGGAGGCCAAGGCAGGAGGATCACGAGGTCAAGAGATTGAGACCATCCTGGCCAACATGGTGAAACCCCATCTCTACTAAAAATACAAAAGTTATCCAGGGGTGGTGGCAGGCACCTATAATCCCAGCTACTCAGGAGACTGAGGCAGGAGAATCACTTAAGCCCAGGAGGCAGAGGTTGCAGTGAACCAAGATCACTCCACTACACTACAGCCTGTTGACAGTGAGACTTCATTTCAAAAAAAAAAGAAGCCAAATGGCATTTACAGAAAAAAATCATCTCATACACCAAAATTTTTAGAGCCTAGTCTCTACAGATTACCTTTGCTGAGCATTCATATATGGTCACATTCTTTAGTTATTTGGAGAGGTCTGTCAACCTACGACTTCCCCAAACCTTACTGTCAGCAGTTTTCCTATTTTGTTCTTTCATTGTCCTTAAGCTTCCAGCCAAATTGTTGGCCATAGCCCATAACCAGTGCAAATCCACACCTCTGGTTCTGTCTTCTTTCTGGTCCAGTGCTTGAAGTTCTTCCCAAACCCACCATCTTTCTCGCTGACCCCTGAATGATGTCTGCGTATAATGCATAACCATCTAGAAACCATTGTGAGTATTTTCCTTTCTCAGTCAAATGGTCATAGGAAACTCTGCATGAAGTCATTGGTATGAGTTGAGGGAGAAGTGTCAAGTGTCAATGTGGTAGGAGGTGTTTTCTGAGTCTCAACCACTCCTTAGACAACTTGTTTGCACCTTTAGTTCCTTCTCAAGCTGATCTTATATATGCTCCTTCCACTCAGTGATGGAGAGCTGCTGTGCTCTCCCAGTTGTGTGGCTTGGTGGGTCAGATAACACTTCAGGTGATGGTGGTATTATTTACTTAGGCTTTATAATAATAGTGACCAAGCATTCAGTCTGTACCAGGGACCAGCAACTCTAAAGAAGTAGCTCAAGAGTGCTACTCTCTGGGCGAAAAGAAGGAAGAAATAAAAAAGAATATGCGTTACCTAAACAAGTCTAGTTGTTTTGAAATAGATTGAGGAGCAAAATTAAATTCAGAAATTAGAACTAAGAAGGTACCTGTTGGAATAATATACCTTCTCCAGCCTTCTCTTATGTATTAGTAGTACAAATGCAGGCAAAATCGTTTCCTGATAATTCTCCCTTTTCAATGTTCTTTCCTATACTGACAACATCGAAGACAGAATCTGCAGCCACTAATCTCCCCATACTCCCTTGTAGATCATGTTTTGCTTCCTTAGCTTACTGTGCCTCCCAGCACTTAGTGGTTACAGTACAGTGCTCTTTCTAGAATTCATATATACGTTAGCATTTTTCTCTGTTTCATGGAGATGTTCAAAATGTAGGATAACGGATCCTGTGTACCTATCCCTCCGCTTCAGCAATTACCATTATGATCGGTTCTCTCTCTCTCTCCTTCCTCTCTGCAATTTTTTGACAAAGATACTGGATCATTTCTTCTGTACACTTTCCCACTGTACGGATTTTGCTAATTGCATTTCTTTGTTTTTTTTAACATGTTCCTCTGTCCCTTGTGTTTCCTGAGACTTGGTAGAGTCTTGATCAAGTTTAGATTTTTATTTTCTTCCTTTCTTTTCTTTAACAGGACTACTCCATAATGTTCTGTGCGATCATTAGGTAAATAAGTCTGATTGTTTCTCTATTTGGGCTGTTATCAGATATGTGATCATTGCCTCAATCTGTTAATTGGAGGAGACAAAAATTATGATCTGTCATTCCTTCATTTGTTTTTCTTAGAATAATTCTATAAAAAGAAACTTCCCTTCATCAATTTTTGTTTGTTTACCTTAAGAGACAGTGTCTACATACGTAGGGGTGGGTGGGTGTATTTGACTCTTTCTTTTTAACGTACGGTTTATAAAATAAATTAGTTCCTAGCATCCACTGAAGATGACCAAATACATATTTTTTTTCATTATAAACTTGAGCATTTAAACATATTTGTGTTTCAACCCTTTGCTGTTATTGTCCTTATTGATTCTCACATTGTTCCATCTTGGCCAGTGGGAGCTTATTCAAGTTAGCTCTTGAGTCCTTTTGACATGGGCCTAATGTTAATTCTCTTTGATAGCTCCTTGCTTTTTAGTGCCACAGCGTACTCCAGGTTCATCTTACACACTTCCTGATCTGGACCTGGAATTATCCATTTTTCCAAGGAGCCCTAGATTCTTTTTAGCAGGAAATAAAAAATACCACATTCTTTTTCTTTTCTTTTCTTTTCTTTTTTTTGGGATGGAGTCTTGTTCTGCCACCCAGGCTAAAGTGCGGTGGTATCATCTCAGCTCACTACAGTCTCTGCTTCCTGGGTTCAAGTGATTCGCTTGCCTCAGCCTTCCAAGTAGCTAGGACTACAGGTGCCATCACACCTGGCTAATTTTTGTATTTTTAGTAGAGATGAGGTTATGCCATATTGGTCAGGCTGTTCTCAAACTCCTGACCTCAAATGATCTGCTGGCCTTGGCCTCCCAAAGTGCTGGGATTACAGGTGTGAGCCACCATGATTGGCCAAAAATAGCACATTCTGATAGCATTATAATCTCATATACTGCTCAGGAGCTTGGTATACCTCCACATGCCTAACATCTCTATTTTGACTCTGACCTCTGCTGTCTCCCTACTTGCTACTAACAATAATTACTTTCTACCAAAAAAAAAAAATTGTTCAAAAACATCGCAAAGTAATCAAGTCATTAGGTTTGTTTAAAGGTAAAGGACCAGAAGGAGGTATTTAGAGTTGGCTTATAACAATCTCCTTACCATCCCCACCTTCCAACTCTATGGAGTCAGAGAGGCCTTTGAGAGAAGATGGTAACATTTACACAAAAATATGCTTGGGGATTTGACAATGATACTGTTGGCTTTTTTTTTAAGCTTGCAAATTACAAAGGGGGAAAGTGTACCTTTGGAGTGGAAAAATCTGGCAGATAACTACCTTAGTCAACTTATCAAAGTTGGCATCACTTGTAATGGGATGAATTGACATTTGGCTCCTGATAATGATACTCTGAGGGCAATCATTTATATAGTATTCCTTTCAAAAATGCATTACCTGAATCATGAGGAAACAGTGAGACAAACCCAAACTGAGGAACATTCTTTAAAACAGTGAACCCCCCCCCCCCAGGAGTTTAAGATCAGCCTGGGCAACACAAGAAGACCCTGTATCTAAAATTAAAAATTAAAAAGAGAACAACAACGACAGGCATAGTGGTTGTATGCTGTGGTCCCAGTGACCTGGGAGGCTAAGGTGGGTAGATCACTTGAGCCCTGGAGGTTGAGGCTGCAGCAAGTCATGATCACACCACCACACTCCTGCCTGGCTGACAGAGCAAGACCTGGTCTCAAAAAAAAAAACAACCCCGCCCAAAAAAAAGTCAATGCCATGAAACGTAAAGGGTGGGGGAACTGTTAGAATTAAGAGACTAAACTGACGTTATAGCCAAATAAATACAAGCTATGATCTTGGAGTTAGGGAAATAAGTTGCTATCAAGGACAATATTAGGACAATTTGCAAATTTAAATATGGACTATATATTGAATAATAGGTTATCAATATTTCCTGATTTTGAAAAATAAATCGTTACCTAAGAATATATCCTTGTTCTTGAGAAAAACACACTGAAGTTTTAATTGCTAAAAAGTCATGATTGTTGCACTGAAGCATTTATTGCTGAAGAGTCATGATCTTTGGAGCTTACTCTCAATGGTTCTGTAAAAATAAGAATGTATATGATAGATATTATATATATTGGATGTACATACAGAGAAAAAAGTGCACGTGATTAAATGTTAATGGATGTATCTAGGTAAAAGATATGGGATGTCATAGCATTATTGCAACTTTTCTAGAGAACTTAAGATTTTTTAATAAATCATTCAATTAAAAAGATTTCATATTGCTATAAAGAACTACCTGAAACTGGGTAACTTATAAAGAAAGAGATTTTTTTTTTTTTGAGACAGAGTTTCACTCTTGTTGCCCACGCTGGAGTGCAGTGGCAGGATCTCTGCTCACTATAACCTCTGCCTCCTGAGTTCAAGCGATTCTCCTGCCTCAGCCTCCCAAGTAGCTGGGATTACAGGCATGCACCACCATGCCCAGCTAATTTTGTATTTTTAGTACAGATGGGGTTTCACCATGTTGGTCAAGCTGCTCTCAAATTCCCAACCTCAGATGATCCACCCACCTTGGCCTCCCAAAGTGCTAGAATTACAGGTGTGAGCCACTGCACCTGGCAAGAAAAGAGATTTAATTGACTCACAATTTCACATGGCTGGAGAGGCCTCAGGAAACTTAAAATCATGGAGGAAGGTAAAGGGGAAGCAAAGCACGTTTTACATGAGTGGAGGCTGGTTGTCTCCTCATTCCTGTAGTAAATAAGAAGTTCAGTGATATCAAAACCGTGCTTTTTTGCAGGTTGGGTTGATGACTGGGTTTTTTTTTTCACTAATGTTATCAATAGGCTAGTGGATTTTGTTGTTTTTGTTGTTGTTGGCAGTGAGCTGAAGACCAAAAATTTTCTACCTAATTTTGCTCATATTCAAATTAAAAAATGTGTTGTTTGTAATAGCAAAAGTAACTTTTATGCCCAGTAATGTGAAATTGGTTAAATCAGTTATAGTATGTCCATGCAGATATGTGGTAGTTAAATCAACTAAGTTAGGTCTATATTTTCTGGTTAGAAAGTATTTCTAAGACATACTATTAAGTCAAAACGGTTCACTGTAAAATGCTTACAGTATCCCAATTTCTTTTTTTAAAAAAGCAACTATATTTATTTTGTGAATATAAATGGAATACACTGTAAAGAAGCCTAAACTGTTTAAATGCACAGAGATTGGGGATGGAAAGTATTGGGAAGAGTAAACTTACACTTCCATTCTGTAGGTATTTTATATTTTTTGTATTTTTAACATTTTAAAATACCAAGAATATTAATGTATTACTGTGTACTTATACAAATTAATGTCGATTACAATTTAACTGTGTAAACATTACAAAGAAGTGGATGTAATCTAATCAGTACAAATGATATAATTTCTTCTAATAGCTGATATGCATTCAAGATGGTTACCTTTCCCTGCTGACAGAAACTGGTGAAGTTCGTGAGGATCTTAAACTGCCAGAAGGTGAACTAGGCAAAGAAATAGAAGGAAAATACAATGCAGGTGAAGATGTACAGGTAAAGACTTAAAGATTATTTTTGAAAACCATTTTATAAAAACTTTGGCCTCAACTAGTTAACATAAAATTCTACATATGGAATGTGGTTTAAAAATATTGCTAAAATGTCGAGAATGATCTCTAAGGCAGGTTTTCCATAAAACCCTTGGAGACTCATTACCAAAGAAAGTATCAAAGTTCATTTTTGCTACATTAACATTCTCAAACCCAACTTTGTTTTCCACGCTCTGCACCTGAGCTTTTTTTTTTTTTTGTGAGATGGAGTCTCCCTCCATCACCTAGGCTGGAATGCAGTGGCATGATCTCAGTTCACTGCAGCCTTCGCTTCCTGGGTTCAAGTGATTCACCCCTCAGCCTCCTTAATAGCTGGGATTACAGCTGTGTGCCACCACATTCGACTGATTTTTGTATTTTTAATAGACACTGAGTTTCAACATGTCGGCCAAGCTGGTCTCGAACTCCTCCTGACCTCAGGTGATCTGCCCACCTTGGCCTTCCAAAAGTGTTGGGATTACAGGCGTGAGCCAAGGTGCCCAGCCCTGAGCTATTTTTAAGGGTAAGAAATGATGCTACTGGATTGTTAAAGAGTGAAGGAGATTTACTCTGTGTTTTGTTACAACTTTCAGAAGGTTGATTAATGCTACTATACGTTTTTATGGGAGGACTTTGTAAGTTAATATAAAAATGAAAAGTTGCTTTTCAGTTGTTTTTGCTTTTAACTTTGCCCCCAACATTTAAAGGAGTGATCCGCTTTACAGGATACTACATGTAGTAAGGTAACATGTAGTAAGTATTGAAACATTTATAGTTCTTATTCTTTGTTCCATGGAAGTTGTCTTACTACTATTTAAGAAATTCTGCTTTAGAAAACTGTAAAGAAAGTAGCTTGTTTTGGAGTACCCCTTTCAAAAGTCTGTATGTACAAAATATACACAAATATACAATATATGACGAACTAGTTAAATCTTTTATATGTCTTGTCTTCTGAATAACTTGTTGCCTGCCTTTTTGCTTCTAGGTGTCTGTCATGTGTGCAATGAGTGAAGAATATGCTGTAGCCATAAAACCCTGCAAATAAATGGGAACATCAAGCATGAACACCGTTTAGGTCTGAATCAACTGCAGATCTAAAGTTGGGTTCTAAGTTGTCACCAAAGCTATAGCCTTCATAAGCAACCTCATTTCTTTTTTTAATTGTTTTCAGATTGTGGTGGGTTAGTTTTACAGGCAATTGATAAAAATTTTTTTTGAATTTTGTAGGTATGTTTCCTATAATATTCCTGTGATTTTCAGTATGTCAGTCCAAGAAACAAACAAGATAGCTTCAGCAGATGTGATTTGTCTGAGCAAATCATTCCTGTGTTTTAGTTAAATGATAAACCAGGGTTTTAAATCAAACAATGTAGCATAAAGTGGTATTGAAATACCACATGTAAGTTGAACTGCTCTGCATTAATTACAGATTTAATATAAAATGAACTGATTATATATTGGAATTGTTACAGTTTCAGCCTGTGTAGGGCAAACACAAATCCTTAAACAAAAACCACATTATCAAAAAATGTCAGTTATTTTGGTGGCCACATGCAGCCACGTGATTACTTTGGTCATACAGTGTACCAAATTATTGGCAGACTTGATGTAACCATATATGGTGGTTTTAGTCCCTTCTTACGGTTGGCAGAAAGGCACTGAACTGTTGGGTGAAAGTGAGGAACGCATATTAAAGGAAGACACAAAAGTGGCAAAGAAGGTTGATTAATGCTATACGTTTTTATGGGAGGACTTTGTAAGTTAATATAAAAATGAAAAGTTGCTTTTCAGTTGTTTTTGCTTTTAACTTTGCCCCCAACATTTAAAGGAGTGATCTGCTTTACAGGATACTACGCAACGCATTTTTTTTTTCCAACCATGTTGAATAAATATTACTATTTATCAGTAAATACTACCAACTTTTTTTTTTTTTGAGACTGAGTCTTACTCTATTATCCAGGCTGGAGTACAGTCTCAGCTTACAGCAGCCTCTGCACCACACGTTCAAGCAATTCTCTTGCCTCAGCCTCCCAAGTAGCTGGAACTACATGTGCACACCACGCCCAGCTAATTTTTTTTGTTTGTTTGTATTTTTAGTAGAGATGGGGTTTCACCATGTTGTCCAGGCTGGTCTTGAACTCCTGACCTCAGGTGATCCACCTGCATTGGCCTCCCAAAGTGCCAGCACTTTACAGGCATGAGCCACCACACCGGGCCCCTTTCCAAGCATTTTTAAGCATAGATTTTTTGACATTAAGATACTAAACAAAAACTGAGAATTACTTAAATTGATTTGGAATTTGGGAAGTTTTGTTAATTTTATGTACTTTTTTTCTAAAGTGAATTGAAAGTGAATCACGGAAGCAATATTACTGTATATGAATATTATTATTTAACTTACTTTAAGTATATGCATTTTTTTCTGACTGTTGCGTGACAATTCAGTTGCTGGTGTGAAATATAACTAACAATTCTATAAACTGAACTATTTTAAAAGGTATTTTAGGTGACACCACTGCATTTCTATTTAATCTTTTGAGTCCTATGTATATTACTTCCAGAATTTTAGACATTGTTACAGGGTTTGACTCAATAACAATCATCATATTGGAGCAAAACAGAACAAAATTACTATCTCCAAAATACCTTAATTCTCTAAGACTGGCTCTTAGACCTCTCCCATCATGCCTTCCCTCTAAAAACCCCTTTGTTCCTATCTTCTAAAGGAAAAGATATCATATAGGATCGTGTAACTGACCTAATCTGTGACTGGAAATAGCATTAGTAACAGAAGATCCCAAGTTTTAGTTGCTGAATTTGTACACACTTTTAAATCTTGTCTTAGCCTCAGCAAACCCATTTGGAGAAGAAGCAAGATACTTTAAGAGAAATGCAAAAAGGAAATTTCTAAAGCACAAGAGAGTGAGGTTGTAGTTAATCGTTTTTAGTGTATCATTTGAGCTTTTGCCCATCTAAAGCACAATTAAAAATTAGGCTACATTCTTTCCAGTTTTCTATTTAAGTACCTACTACACACTGCTCTAGTTTATTAGTACTCTGTAATGTGTATCTTCCTTGCTACTGGTTAGCACTGTTACTCATAGGAATTCCTGAAAATTATTAGCCTGTGCTGCTTGCAGGTCATTCTTGTAGCCCCTCTTAACCATGCTGGTGTTATGATTTAGTATTAACTCTCGATTAGCATGCCCCTGTTCTTCCTAACTTGTCAAACTTCACATAAATATATTTTCAATTGTGATGTAAGGCTGTACAAATAATTATAATAATGCATCTCTATCTTCATACTTTGAATGGCAAAAACTATTTATGCATAAATATTTTCATTTTAAGTAATATATGCAGTGTAAATACTCTTGATATGTAAGTATAGATTTTAAAGATATGGGACTTTATTTTCACATAAGTCAATAGATGTTTCTCTAGAACAAAATATTTCATTTAGTAAAGCTTTATAAATTATCTTAAAAGGAAGCAGGGAACATGTATTTTTTAACATAGAACAGAAGTCACTTCATTCTTTTTAGACATCAGAAATGTTAAAGTTGATTCCCAGTATTTGTTGTACTTTTTGTAGCAAATATTAAATATCATGAGTTAACATGTATAGAATGTGGACTGTCGTGTTGATAGACTGTACAGTGATAAGCCATTCATTTTTATCTGTATACATTTCGCCAATGTATATTAACAGGTTGAATATTTGCTTCTTTTTAGAACATTTTATTTGTACTGTGAGGATTTTGTTACACCTTATTTGCTGCAGCAGAGATCATCTCATTGCTACTGTGAGCATTCGCATCATAAACGATTATGATTCTTGATTCTTTCCGTGCTCCCTTCCAAGGGCTGTCAGTCAATTGAAGAAATTGTTGCCCTCTTTCCCTTAATGATACAAATCTCCCAGTGCTTTCTGTTAATTACCAGAACTCTCCTGCAGTTAGAGCATAATAGGAGACACTGCAGTAAAATGATTAGGCTGTAAAATTGGAGACACAACTTTTTATTACAACACAGTTTGCGTGTGCACATGTGCACATATAGCTTTGTATGTTCTTTTTTCCAAAGTACCAGCTCTTAAAAGTACTGTAGTCTGGTAGTGCCTCGACTGTTGGTAACTTTTTTTTTAATTTACAACTTTTGCAGAACTTGTTTTTGTACTTTAAGGTTTCTCAATTCGATTATTTCTAGTTGAGCTGTAAATTTGAATGCATTGTTCTCAGGACTGTTTGTGCTAAGAGTTGAAATTACATTATTTCAAAGCTAATTGCCTGAAAATATATTGCAAAATTTTCCCAAATTGTAATACCATGATACATGCATATAAAAAAAATCCTTAATGTCAGCACACTTAAACTACGTGCTAAATAATCAAAAAAAAAAAAAAAATGGAAACAGTAGCATCCAGACTGGAATCTTGCCGTATTTTTTTCATTTTAGAATAGAATCCGGCAGTCCCATCTTAGAATCCTGTCCTTAGGATATATCTGAAAGCATTCCTTTGGCATGGACCCCAAAGACAGTTTTGGAGCCAGCCATTAATGTAGAAGTTCACCAAACATATTTAGGGATAATAGATAAATTAATAATGCTCTTTTGGGTACATTGAAATGTTTACATGGGAATTCTATAATATGAACTAGGAACACATTTACTATGGGAAAATATGGCTCTTAAGCAGTGTAAGAGTGGAAATATAAGCATATTTCCATGAACAGTATATCATACTGATCAGCAGTTCTCATTTTAATGTCATTTTGCCATAATACTTCATAGTTTTCAAGGCTTCTTTCTGCTAGCATTCAGACAAGTCAACAAAGATTTAAGAAAAACGTATGGTGGAAAACCTTAAAAATGAAGACAATTCAATCTATTAAATTTTTTTTCTCTGAATTGGGTGTATGGCATCAGTAATTGATTTTGGCAGGGAATATATGGATTTCGCTTATGAAACATGGATGTTCTATGGAAACATGGCTTGAAGCCAATATGTAATTTAATGTTTTTCCATTAAACAAACATCTGAACACCAACTTAGCTACCAAGTGAGGTCAAGTGCCTGAAAAGTGTTGTATACATCTAAGAAGCATGTTTTCTTTCTGTAAAAGATGCATCTTATAGTAATGCATACCAGGATTTCACCTGCTAGAAACATACTTGTTGGCAAACTTTGCCATCAGCACTATTCCCCTCCTTAGAGCAGGTAGAAACCTATTTTACAAATAAAAGAGACAGGTTATTCTATTTATATGAAGTCCCTAAAACTATTTCTTGGTATTGGTAGACTTAAGTTTATCTTATTTCAAGATTGCACTTTTTAAAGAACTCTGGACTATTTTCATTAGTGACTGAACAGCTTGTCACAAGTCACTGTTTGGATCTTTTCTGAGGAGTTATTACAGTTAATATCTACTATAAATAAGCACTCTTGTGCTTATTACACAGCATAATGCAAATTACTAGTTCTTTACTAGTATAATGAAAATGACTAGTTCTATACTATTATGAACTTTTATCCTCCTCCCCAAAAAGAAAACAGTTGGAATGGCATTGTCTAAATCCAGTGGCACTTTTTTTAGTAATACATTTTTTTTCTTAGATATAGGAGAACTATTGCTTTTACCTGCAGAGACTCAAATGTTTTCACTAAAACTTTAAAATTGTAAGATATGTAGTATTACTGATTGTGCATTTTGCATTTCAAAAATAGTAAAAATTCAAATGCGAAGTCATTGACTTAAAAACCCTTGAAAATGCAGATAATACCGTAACAATTATAACTTTTTGTTATATTATTAAAATATATTTGTCTGTTAACTTCATCAGTTGTATTCAATAAAAGTTAACTTAACAGCTTGCACTATTCTTGTATATATACATCTTTAAAACAATTTCATACCCGAAAATTGTATGACCTAAGTATACATCACTTTAAAAGAAAATTAACTTGTTTTTATTGAGTACTTTATATTCTATGTCCTTACGTAGTGCCCTAACATTATGACTAGGACTGTTTAATTTCTAAATTTTAGTTTGAGGTTTAGGTCAATGTTTTATAAAATAGTCACTTAGTTCAAAATTCAGCAGGTGCAAAAGAATAAAGACATTGTTCCCTCTTCACTGCCTTCCTACGCATCCTTCCAGAGATATTGAATGTAAGAGAGGGTAATGTTACTTCCCTCACTCCTGATCTCCCAGGGTCTAAGGTGTTTCTTTCCTACAAGCTGGGGTTGCTGCTCCCTTTCCACAAAGTGAGTGGTGCAACAATTCCCTGAAGCAATCTCTTCACCCTTTTTCCAATCCTCACCATGTCTAATCCACACCAACTGGACATGTTCATTTCTAGGTGGCTCAGTGTTTCTTCCTTACACACTGTACCATTCTAGAACATCCCTCTCGCTTCCTGACATGTGAGCTATGCCAGGGATACCATGGCAGTTATCACCTTGTATCTATGATCATCACAACTATCCACAATCTACCAGATCCACAATGCAAAGTTGGGCAAAAAAGAAGCACCAGTTAGAGTCTTCTAGCCTCTCTCCCCACTACTTTTGCCACTTGTAAATTTGGTAGCCCGGTTACCCAGAGGAAGGTATAGAGGGAGGAAAAAGACTGAAAAGGGCTAATTACGAGTTTCATGTCTCTTACAGTTTGCATCCTATCCTTTCCCCACCCCCATCATTAAATCATAAAACATTCTTTCCAGATAGAATGCCCTTCTGTGGAGCTGCATATTTGGAAACCATACTGCCTATCTAAATTATACACTCCACTGGGAACTTACAGTATCTGTTTCCCACAATACTTGCCGTCATCAGTTACAACCACTGGGTGTGTATTGGTTCAAAAGGACCTACCTACAAGGTTCTATCAATCCATGGTCCAATTTGAGAGTTTTTTCTGAATACAGTTAAAATAATTTCTGGCTACACCCAGAGACACTTCCCAGAACCACAATGACTTGTAGTCTGGTGCCCAAGAAAGCCAAAAAGGCCCCCAACAGACAGATTCTAAGGGAGAAGAGAGGTTCATCGACTAACACTCATAGTGTGTCTGCATTTTTCTTCATAATTATGTAAGTTTCACTTTATGTGGGTGTCACCGTAGCTCATTTTAATTGCTATATAATCAATGAGGTAAATATTTTGGATATATATCAAATATTACTATCCTGACGTTAGATATTTTCTTTCCAATGCAAATAGAACTTTCACACAAAAAAAGGATATTTAGAGCACCAAGAAAACAGCAGTAGCTTCTATAAAGCAGAAATATGAAAAACTGATACCAGTCCCAAGTGAAATTAAAAACAAAACTAGAAAATAAAAATGTCTAACTAGAAATGCTAAACCTGTTATACAGTGTACAATGAAAAGGGAAGTACACACTAAAACAATATCAAGGTATCAGGAAATAACATGCAAAAACAAATAGCTTTATATCTACAAATAACCAATTAAAAGACCTAATGAAAGGAAAATGTTCAAAGCCTATACAAAGAAAACTATAAGCACTCCCAAGAGACAGCTGACCCGAACAAGTTCCATATCCTTGGTTGATATGTTAGATGATAGTTCTACCTAATTTTATTTATAATTTTAATATAGTCTTAATAAAGATACCAACAAGTATTTTAGTGAACTTAAACAAGTTGTTAATAAAGCTTATAAGGAAATATGAACATGCAAGAATCACTGGGAAAATGCTGGAAATACAGAGCTGAGTGGAGACTATCTCTGAGTGGGGACTACCAGAAATTAAAACATATTACAAAGCATCTATATCAAAACAGGTACTGGCAAGTGAATAGACAGATTAATGAAATAGAATAGAAAATCCAGAATAGACCCAAATACATGTAGAAATTCAATATATAATCAAGATAGTATTGCAAATCACTCGGCAAAGATTGACACATATTAATTGTTAGGACAATTAGAAAAATAAGATGAATTCCATACAACATACATAAGAATAAACTACAAATGAAGTAGATATCTAAATGAAAACTATAAAACTATACAAGTCCTAGAATAAAACATGAGTGACTTTCTCTATAACCTGGCTTTAACAAAACCAGTTGGAAGTCTAGACACAATAAAAGAGGTGTCTGTGTGTGAAAAACAGAGAGAACAAATGGTGAGACAAAATAAAAATCTGGATAAAGGGTGTGAGTGTGTGTGTGTGCGCGCGTGTGCGTGCACACGTGCGCTTTGAACTTTTACAATCTTTCATAACATTTAAATTCTAAATAAACTTTTTTAAACTCAAAAAGTATAGTACCATCCAATTTTTATAAATTTATGTCTAAACAAGACAGAGGGAGGGAGGGAGGGAGGGAGGGAGGGAGGGAGGTAGATAGAGTAGATAGATGCACACAGACACATTTATAGACATGCATACCCCCAAAACATTTAATAGCTATTTCTAAGCAAGTGGGATTTTAGACATTTTCACACATTATATTTTTGCTTTCTCTATATTTTCTTGCATGAATATTTCTTTTCACATATGATAATTTTGTTAATTAAAGTTCTCGCTGGGTGTGGTAGCTCATGCCAAGGCAGGCCGATCACTTGAGGTCAGGAGTTCCAGACAAGCCTGGCCAACATGGTGAGTGAGACCCTCCATCTCTACTAAAAATAAAAAATTAGCCAGGCATGGTAGTGCACGCCTGTAGTTCCAGCTACTCGGGAGGCTGAGGTAGGAGAATTGCTTGAACCTGGGAGGTAGAGGTTGACATGAGCGGAAGTCATGCCCCTGCACTCCAGCCTGGGCAACAGAGTAAGACTCCATCTTAAAAAACAAACAAACAAAAACAAGTAATAAAATGAAGCAATGAAAAAAGATACTTTCACTTTAAAGGCTGATCAATACTCAGAATTTCTGTGGCACTATATAACAAGAAAATATTACTTGGATGAAACTGCAATTTGTTAAAAATATTTTAAAATAACAGGTTTTCCTAAATACACATTGAGAGAAAAGATGCAATGAAGCAAGTATAAACTTTTTAATCATAGTTTGTAATGCTCTCTAATCCAATTAGTGAAGAAAGGGCGAGCAGCAATAACTTAAGTTCCTATTTCCCTTCCCTGGTCCCCTTGGCTTTCATTGATGAGTACGTAACAAACCATACATAGGTCTGGGACTTGAAAAGTAATATTCTTCAGCAGTTTTAAGTTTGTCCTCAGTATCTCATTGTTGTTTGCACAGAAGGGCTGCAGTCCATTCTTGGCCAAAGCTGCAGTTAGCTTCCATAAGACTATATGCACTTCAATGTCATTAAAGTATGTTTTCCTGGAAATGATAGTGCCATGCCTCATCATGCTCAACATGCTTCACTTTGCAGCACATGGCACAGAAAGAAATGCAATGCTGTTTGCTACACATACAAAATCTATATATATTTTTACAATACTTAAATGGTGATAACTTTGATAGCTAAGGGTAAAGGGTAATTTAGAAGCTTCTCTTTTTTTTTTTTCAAATCAGCTTCTAAAAAATAGATGAGTTTTAATAATAAGTACATTTCAGAGATGCACACATTTTCTACTTTCTATGTTACAGTGCGATCCTCTGTGCTGTTAGCAGAGCTGAGGTCTTCCAAAAGGCAACACTACAGAATAAGGTGAACCATCTGCTTCTGTAAGAAACCTTGTGTGATGCACAAACCCAGGACAGATACAGAGATGCAGAAAGAGAAGATGTAAGACATACCAATGGACCACAACAGAGAATTCTATTCAGAGTACTGTTTGCCTAAATGTCATAGCATTTTCTCATAATTCAAAAATACATAGATATTTACATTATGGATATATTTATGAATGATTGTAAATAATCTAATGACATATTGTCAGATATGATTTGCTAAATATTTATCTGTGACTATAGTATGTGTGCACATATATTCATGAATATATATATTCATATAAGTTCATATATTCATAAATGAGACTCGGGTATAAGTTTCCTTTCTCAAAACATCCTTGTCAGGTTTTAGTATCAAAGTTGTATGGGCCTCATTGAAAAGTGTTGAATGTCTCTAATTTTCCCAAAGTGTTTGGAAATTGGTGTCTTAGCTTATTGGCTGCATGCAGTTGATTTATTTAGGAAGTGATCTCAGGTAACAGAAGAAACTGGGGAAAATGAAACTAGGAAATAACAAAAGCAAACAGAAATGTGGTGGGGACAACTGAGGCTCAATTCTTCTGGAGTCTCTCTTGTGGTGACATAGAACGGACTACACTGTCCAATCAAAAGAAAGAAAGGAGCAGCGACCAGTTTCATGCAGGTGTAACGTGACAGCACCTCCCCGCATATATTTCACCTTCTACCCCATGGCTTCTCCGACCTGTGAGAACCTCCTGACCAATAACCACTTACACATTGACAACCTGAAAATGCGAGGGAGTTAACGCCCCAAGGACAAATATTTATCAGCAGAAGACTGGAAACTGTAGATCAATTCTCCCCTGCCCTGGATTAAAAGGCAAACTGGCAGAATGTGCGTTTAAGCATAAAATTGTTACAACTGGCATTGTTTTTTCCTCAATTGTTTGGCACAATATACTGGTTAAACATGAATAGTACATAATTTGCCTCTGTTCTTCTTGTGGGAAGATTTTAATTACAAATGCAATTTATTTAAAAGATACAGGTCTATTCAGATATTCTGTTTCTTCTCGTGTACATTCTAATACATTATATTTTTCTAGGAATTTGCTAATTTTATCTAATTTGCTATATTTTGGTAATATAAACTATCTTATTGTTATTAATTGAATTATAATATATATACAGAAAAATGAACAGACTATAATTTACAGCTTGATGAGCAATTCTCCTGCTTCA